ATGTCACAAAGTGTGTGACAAGTCGAGCGAAAGTCGGGGAAGGGTATTTAACCAGCGATCGGCGGTAGTGTTAACTGCCGATTAATAGGCCTTTTCGTCGCAGTGGTTTAGATCACTGTTCCGTTGGGCACTGTTATATCGTGCATATGCTGGTCAGTATGTCTCGTGACAGATTAATCGGCGGTTACGGGTAGGATCCTGGGTTCGACTCCCCGGACGGCGCGGGGGGTAACCCAGGCCCTACTTGGAAAACCTCCCTCTCGGAGTAAGTTTTCGGTCTATTGTACCCTTCCCAAGTGTGGGGGCCCAAGCGGGGTCCCCTTGTCGGGGCCCCAAAGCGGGGGCCCAAGAGAGTGCATAATGTCACAAAGTGTGTGACAAGTCGAGTGAAAGTCGGGGAAGGGTATTTAACCAGCGATCGGCGGTAGTGTTAACTGCCGATTAATAGGCCTTTTCGTCGCAGTGGTTTAGATCACTGTTCCGTTGGGCACTGTTATATCGTGCATATGCTGGTCAGTATGTCTCGTGACAACGTGCTAAAAACGATTGACATGAGACAGTGTAAATCAGGGTCTGTAAAGTAACGTAATTTACGTTCTCAAACCGTTAAAACGAGGGTATGCATGTTGTTGTCAAGGGTAAGCATCCTTTGGTTGTCAAGGACAGTCAATTTGTCAAATTGCTAGTAGTCACATATACCAAGTCGTTGTCATGGGTTCTTCCCCACCCGCCTTCAAATTTTAACGTACTTTATCACTTTACCATACTCACATCTGGAATTTTGAGCTTCTTGAATAGATATTATGTCGAACACACCCGTTACTCCTTCTACTTTGAAAGAGCTTGTGACGTCTAAGCCTGATCTCCGTTAGTTGCTATTTTTTTGACGTTAAGACATGATTAATTCTAATAATCAGCCGCATGGAGTGCCAAATATCAATGGGATGGAACCGCTGCCTTTGTTCTACGAAAATGGTCGGATGTTGGTCGTAATGAGGTTCTTCGAGTTTCAGCCTCCTACAAAGGTAGTAAGATTGCAATTGCTCCCAATGAATCATCGAAAGTTAGTACTCTCAAGTCAATTTTCGTCAGATTTGTGTTTATCTGACTCAATCAGTTTAAGAATTACCGAGAGGCTCATAATCATGCTATATCCCCTCATTCTCACCTTAGAATGGGGACTTTTAGCTGTCAATTGTGTCAAGCTGGTCAAAATCGCAAAGAGTTGTGTTCTTTTGGCTGTGTAACCGTCCGGTGAGCTCCCTACAGGAGCATGTACCGAATGTATCGCGAGGGGTACGACAGCTCGCTGTACTTTTGTCGAAAAGGCGGAATACGTCTTGGATCAGGCGAGTTTTGCGGGAAATATGCGAGAAGAGCTGGGTAAATTGAAAGCTTGTCACAATCGTCGTTTCTTCTTCTCTACTGACCGACGGTCGACAAACCTCGGCTAACTACGTTGTAGTGGGGCGTCGTTGTCTCACTAAGACAGGGTACTCGTCGAGGAACTACGGCTAACTTCGCCGTAGTGATACGTCGAGTGATGAAATGATAAGATGATCGTCGATGGACTGCGGCTAACTTCGCCGTAGTACGTTGAACTGCTCAGTGGTAGCTCTCCTTAACTCGAAGGTTGTAGCTACTGAATATCTCTCTCGCTACTGACAACAATCAAGGATCGCTGAAGAAGTTCAGCGATCTGTAAACTATCTATACTACTCCTCTCTTCTCATAGAACGTCCCTCAACTCCTGCACTGCCTCACGCTCAGTCCTCTTCGTTCAACTTCGCCGTACCTCGCCATATCCCCGCTATCCTACTCCGCTCACTTTGACTAACTTCGCCTAACTTCCCCTGTTCTGCCCTCCCTCGGTTCCCTTCCCCTAACTTCGCCGTAGTTCTCCGCTAGGCGGGGTTATCGTGACAAATCCCCTCTTGGTTCTCGTAACTTCGTCGTAGTTGGTCTCAGTGGCTCGAGTGGAGGTTGGTGGTGGTGAAAGGAAGATCGGTGATGGTGAAAGGAGGGTCAGTGATGGTGGTTGTCAGGGATGTTACGACGTAGTTCGTGACAGTCGCCCCCTCCTTAGGCGCGAACCTCCTCGTGAGCTTTGTATGCATGTAATGAAGAAAAAGACACTCAGCAGGTTGCAGGAAACACAATTGGTCATATAACAGTTGTTGGTAGCTGATACCATGGTTCGTTGTCAATCGGACAGTAAACTTCGTCGAAGTTCATCGTGGTTGCTTGTTGTTATCCTGTGGTAGTTACGTTGTGAGTGAGACAGAGGATTTGGGGTACAACAAACCTCGTCGAAGTTCGTCAGTGTATCCCTAACTTATATGAATGTGAGACACGTAGCGTGGGAATTTTGATCGTCGCGATGGTGTTTGTTGTTACTGAGACACCTTGTTATGCGAAGTTACCAGCGCCCTGACGACGAGTGGCCAAGTCAGTTATACTAAATACTCAGTACTTCGGCCCACTTCTTCTTCTTTCCCAAGACTAATCCTAAATTGCACTATCATCGTCTATCGATTTCCAGTCTTTACCTTACCAAACATATCAATTTGAAATTTTTCAACAAAATGTCTTCTCGTCCGGAGCTCAACGCCCATAAATTCTTTGCGGATCGTTTCGCCGCTGTCCGTAAGTCTACTTGTACTCTCTATAAGATACTCTGTCGCTGATTGTCCTAGTCGCTCAGCAGGGGAACTCTCCCCGCCATGTGTCGTCCATGGGCTTTGGAGCCCTAGCCATCACCGATGGCTCGCCTTCTGCTGCTGCAGCTTTCGCTGCAGTTCCTTCTGCCACCGCGTCCCCTGTTGCGGTTACGACCCCTCTCTCCTCTGGCCAACAGGAGGTCAGACCTGCTCCTGTTGGCCTTCCGCACACGTCAGGCCGTACTGCCACTGTGGTAGAAATCGATGATGATGACGATGAGGACATGGATGGTGTTCCTCGTGGTGAAGAGACGGGTGTGTTGGTTGATGATGGTGAGAAGGGTGGTGCAGATGAGGATGATGAGATGGGTGAGGTCGATGAAGATGAGGAAATCCTCAGTGTTGATCTCGGTGATCCAGCGCTGTTTGAGGATAGAGAAATGTGGGTGTCAGAGTTGGAAAAGTTAAGCCGTATGTCCTCTTGTCATATACCCTGTTCGTAAGTGCTGACATGTAGCTGTTCGTGATAATGAAGGTTCTCCCGAATTCCGCGTACGGCTCCAGACTTCCTTCGGGAAGAAACGGGTTGCGTATCAGGAGAAGATGGATGCTCTGGCTGAAATAAAAGCCGAGAAACGTCGCCGTTCCCCTTCCGCCCCCGACGAAGTATCCCCTCCTTCGGCAAAACGGGTCAAAGCGACCCCTCGGTCCTGTACCGGACAGGATGAATTGTTTCCCTCCCCTTCCCACGAGCCAGGGAGTGCTCGCAAGGCGTCGTTGCGAGAACAGGATAGGCTATGGAAGTTGTTTATCGATGAAAGGGAGCGATGGGAGGTCGCAAGTATCGATGAGTCGTGTGATAGATGTCGGTAGGTTCCTTCCCTAGAAGTTTATACGTCTGCTGATCAGTAGCCGTGAAATTATCACGTATGGGAGAGCGAAGTGGCCGTGTCTACGACCGGTCAAACCTCATAATCGCGGGTCCCGTTGTGCTTCTTGCACTTCTGGCCCCTGCTCGTTCTGTCCCCCCAACACCGCTCGGGACATTCCTCCTAGACCTTCTGCTCCCCTCGGTCTCCCCCACACTCCGTCCGCCGCTGTTCGCCGCCGTCTCCCCACAGCCCAAGACGGGGAATATCCTTCGCGCTCTCCTTCGGCGAACTTCTCCTCCCCTGGCCCCACCTCGCCGTCACCCGCCGTCCGTCGCCCACCTAACTCTCTCGTGGCCGGACCGTCTCGTCTCCCTGCCACTCCTTCGGCAGGTTCGTCCCGTCGCACTCCTCGTCGTGCTTCTTCCGCCGCTCTTCGGCCTTCTACTCCTGTGGCTGGCCCATCTCGTCTCCCGGCTACTCCTTCTGCCGGTCCTTCTCGTCCCACCAGGAGCCGTCCTACTCCTGTCTCAACTCAAGAGGATTTCTCTTCAAGTCTCCCTCCTGCCCTTGGGACCCGAAGCCGTCAACCATCTGTCCCTCCTGCTTCTGGGCTCTCAACTCCTGCACCTCCTGTGAAAACTCCTCCGAAATCTTCGAAAGGGAAAGGCAAGAATAAGAAAGCTGTCCAGTTCGAACCGGCTGTGGTGGAAGACAAAAGTACTCAGCTACCAGAGGAAAGCCCTCCTTCCCTCGACCACCCCACTATCGCTCTCGATCCTCGGATACCAGAGGAGGACAAACAACTAGCCACCTTCCGTTCCGTCATTATTGGCTTAACCACGCAATTACAAGCCAATACTCGTCGAATGTTGTGTGAAGCTGGTCTCCGCGATGAATACTCTCTCTCGGACAATGGCAACTCTTGTGAACTCCTCCGACATAGGGCCATTAGGGCGAACTGAGTTAGCTAGAGTCTCCCGAGAGCTCACAACGGACATGAGCGACTTCTACCGCAATCTCTTTGACTCCCCTTACCTCCTGAACCCCACTGAGTATATGCTCCCCCCTACACTGGACTGGTTAAAACCATCTCAACCAGCTCGACTCAGTTCTCAGGATGGCGCTTTCCTCGATATCCTAACTCTTCCCGCAGACTGTCTTAGAACACTTCGTCAGTTGTGGAAATCACCTAGTCTGAGTCTCGCTCGTGATCCTGCTCTCCACTCCGCTCACATTCTCGCCTTTAATACAGCATGGAAGGAGACTCGGGCCCTCCGACGGACGGTGGGACCGAAGGTTACTGAGAGTAGTTCTGGGAGTGGTCCTGCACCGGGGAACGAGGAACAGGGAGGAAGTTCGCAGCAGTGAGTTGTACTTAGCTAATGTTGTACCAGTTGTATGAATTACTTCCTCGTTCGTGATCTTACCACTCGTCCTTTCGTCGGCTTATCCGGGTGAAGTTCGTGGAACTTCGCCAATATGTCATTAGCTCCGTCCACATTTTCTACTGGTTCCCATGATACTGCGTCATCCGAGCCTTCGTAACCTAACCATTCCACTAGATATTCTAACTTCCCTGACCTCTTATTTACTCTTGAGTCCACAATATCCTTTACTTCCCACGATTCTCCTACGTTATCTACCTCTACTGGGCCAGGTGGTTCAGCTTGCTGACCAGGAAATACCGGAGGGTGATAGGGACGGAGTAAAGAAACATGGAATACATCATGGATACCTGCCATCGTTCCTGGTAATTCCAGTTTACAAGCATGAGAACCTACTTGCCGTACTACCTTGTACGGCCCACTTTGCTTAACGTCCAACTTCTTCATTGGTCTCTTAGTCTTGATATTCTCTAACGACAGCATAACTAGGTCACCTTCCACGAAGTTCGGCGTAGTTCGATGTTTCCTGTTGTATCCTTCGGCGTACTTCACGTTAGCTCTCTCAATCCCCTCAATACATTCCTTATGTATTTCAGTTAGGTCCTTTACTGCTATTGTAGCAGCAGGTACCTCAACTTCACTAGCCTTAATCTCTTCAGCCCATCGAGGGTGGTACCCATAGTTCGCATAGAATGGGGTCTTGTTTCTCGCGGAATGATGGGTATTGTTATAAGCAAAGCTAGCTCGAGCAAGCAGCTTTGACCAATCGTTCTGCTGGTAGGAAGTGAAGATTCGAAGGTATAAACCCAGGGACTGGTTCGTTCGTTCGGTCTGTCCATCAGTCTGTGGATGATACGCGGTAGAAAGATGTAGTCTTATCCCGAGACTATCGGTCAAGTTCTTCCAAAACTTCGAAGTAAACTTCGATCCTCTGTCTGATACTATACTCTCTGGTAACCCATGCTGGGCCACCACATAGTCCATTATCAGCTCTGATAGTCCAGCTGCGGTTAACTTCGTCGTGGTTGGGATAAACATGGCCCATTTTGTCAGTCGATCCACGACCACTAAGATAGAGTTATATCCATGGGAGTTTGGGAGCTCTTCGATGAAATCCATCGAGATACTTGACCAAGGTTTTGTCGCTACTTGTAGGGGTTTAAGTTCTCCATGAGGCTTTGTCACGAACTACGTCGTGACACCTCGATTACTCCACCAACAATGACCCTCCTTTGGCCATCAAAACCCCATCACGCCTTAACCTCTTTACTCTACACGTAACTCAGGACTTCTGACACCAAGTACGGCGAAGTTAGACGGAGTTAGGCTAAGTAGGGACAATGGGAGCAGAAGTACGGCGAAGTTAGACGGGGTTAGGCTAAGTAGGGACAATGGGAGCAGAAGTGCGGCGATGTTAGGCGGGGTTAGGCTAATTAGGGACAATGGGAGCAGAAGTGCGGCGATGTTAGGCGGAGTTAGGCTAAGTAGGGACAATGGGAGCAGAAGTGCGGCGATGTTAGGCGGAGTTAGGCTAAGTAGGGACAATGGGAGCAGAAGTGCGGCGATGTTAGGCGGAGTTAGTCGAAGGAGGAAGAGGATGGCCGAGGGCTCGGGGAAGTTGGACGAAGTGCGTTGAAGTACGTCAAAGCGCGAGAGGGTTGGATGAACGTCTAGGAGGAGTAGATAATATTAGCTGAGAAGATCGCTGAAGTTCTTCAGCGATCCTTGATTGTTGTCAGTAGTGAAAGACATAGAGATAGCTATATACAATCGAGATACATCGCCATCAGTAGAACAAAACCTCAGTTAGAGTAACTACGCCGAAGTACGCCGTAGTTACACTCCTTTCGACGTCTGCGCCCTCCTGGTTGGGTGAGACATCGACTTAGAAGCGTCAAGTTAGCCGAGGTTCGTCGACCGTCGGTCTACTAGAAGATAGTTGTTCGACAGCCGTGACAGGCTTCTGTCTGTTAGTCTTAGCTCTCTGACATACCGCACAACCAGCGACATAGTCTTCTACATCCTTCCTTACTCCAACCCAAACATAATCCCTTAGGATTAGTTCAAGGGTCTTCGCCGAACCTGGGTGACCAGCCAAAGCCGAGTCATGTCGCATCTTCATGATCTTTAGTCGAGCGTCGGCGTAGTTCGGCACATAAGTGCGATCGTCGAATACAAGGAAACCTCTCGGGGTCCACCCCCCACGAAGTATTAGAAGAGATCGCGAACTACGGCGTAGTTCGGTGATTGATCCTGGTTCCTGTACATCATCATGACACGTCGGATGAGAACACTCAGCGCAGATAACTCCTGATAACTCCTCTCTAACCTCCTCTATGTCTTCGTCCTCCTGAACTCCAATTATCAGATCCATAGGGTCGACAAGATCATCTTCCTTCACCTCCCTTGTCCCTTGCAAGGCTTGAAGGAGGTGGCGCAACTCCGACGTGGTGGCGTCAACTTCGTCGAACTTCGGCAGACCCTGAATAAGGTTACTCTCTTGTATCATCGTACTTCCTTTTCCCGAGTGATAATCCGCCTGTCTAGACAACCCGTCTGGAAGGCTTGCTTGAGTCCCTGGTCGATAAACCATTTTAAATCTGAAGTTAGCTAACTCTTCTACCCACCTACCTTGACGTGGGCTGAGTTGCTTCGGCTCCATCCAGTAAGTGAGATTTAAATGGTCGGTAAGGACCGTGGTCTCTACCTGCAGTAGTAAGTGTCTTCTTCTTCTGAAACCCTCAACTACGGCGAGGAACTCCTTTTCTCCTACGGTGTAATTTAGTTGGGCCGTATTGAACGCGCCTGACTCGATGGCGACTGGGTGCTCTTGACCAGCTGTATTAATCTGCAAAATTATGAAACCCCAGCCGAAGAACGAGGCATCTGTCTGTAATATGGTCTTCAATGTAGGGTCAAAGTGAGCTAACACTGGCGCAGTACACATCCTAGCCTTCAATTCCTTAAAGGCTGACTCCTGTTCTGCTCCCCACACAAACGGTACCTCCTTCCTTGTCAAATCATTGATAGGTCTAGCGATCTTCCAGAAGTTGGGGACAAAACGCCTGTAATAGCTCACGACTCCAATGAAACCCCTCGACTCTCGTAGATTCTTTGGGCGTGGGAAGGATGTGATGGCGTCAATGTACTCTGGATTAACCGATACACCTCGAGAGGAGACCACAAAACCCAGGAATACCACCGAATCTCTTTCGAACTCGCACTTACTAGCTTTCACGTACAAGCTCGCCTTCCGCAGCACTTCAAAGACCTTCGCCGTAGTTCCTTGTAATTCCTCCAATGTATTCCCATAAATGAGGATATCGTCAATGTAGACCACGACTCCATTCCCTAGCAGTTCTCTAAACACCTCGTTCAGGAAGTGCTGGAAGACAGCAGGGGCGTTTCGCAGCCCATCACGAACGACAAGAGATTCGAACATACCATACTGTGTCCTGAACGCCGTCAGGTGTTCATGTCCTTCTGTCACCCTTAACAATTGGTACGCTCCAATTGAATCTAGTTTGCTGAAGTATCTTGCTTTTCCAAGTTCTTCGGTAATCTGGCCTATTAATGGGAGAGGGTAGGCATCTGGTATGGTTGCTTCGTTCAGTTTTCGATAGTCGATGACCATTCGCCACTGTCCTTCGGCTTTCTTCGGTATCATAAACATCGGTGAGCCGTATGGCGAGTTACTTGCTCGAATTCGGCCAGCGGCGATTCGCGATCTAGTATGTCTCTCAGCGCGCGTCTCTGATCTTCTCCTGAGCATAGAGGGAGGCGACTTCAGGTTCGCCCCTCCTTAAGCTCAAACTTCAAATCGTAGGACCTCAAAGGGGGAAGGGTCTCTCCTCCCTTCTTCGGATTAAACACGTCAATGTACTGGTGGGATTGCTCAGGAACTACCTGGAACAACTCGTCTTGTTCCTCCGGGCTCAGCTCTTCAAGCTCATCTTCGCCGCGGAGGTCTGTCTCGTCGGTTCGGGTCCTGAGCCCTATGGCTGCCAGGACCGCAACATCTTTCGTCTGTGGAAAGGGAGAGGACAACTCTTCCCTTTTACTCGGCAAGGGTAGGGGAAAGGACACTGCGCTTTCCTCATTGTTCGTCTGGGGAATAGGGAAGGATATCATATTCGCTCCCCCATTCAGGATTACCCTTTCTTCTTTCATCCATTCCCATCCTATCACGACATCCGCGTCGCAAAGGGTGGTGTTACGACCTGGCTAACCAGCACCAGGCCATACACTGGCCATGCATGTGACATCTTATGCCACTGCGCTAAAAGGCACAATATTGCAATCAGCCCTATGATTGCGATCCGGTTATAACCTGATGTCACGACTGAGGTTGCAGGGTCGTGACAGGAGCCCCTCCTTTAAGGGCCGAAGTCCCTTGAGGCCTTCAGGTTTAGTACCCAAACCTATTATGGTTTGACAGCGCTTTGGGTTCGATTCTCAGAGGGAGAGACTTTTGGCGGCGACCTCACTCGCCACTGCCACATCCCACCAATGTGGCAGAGCAAATATGATGTGCTCTGGGTGGGGATCGAACCTGCTACTGTTTGATTGCGATATTC